GCTACTAAAATTTAATGGTGACAACACCTAGGACTAGAAGTAACCTGCTACCTCTTGGGGCAATTCCTATGAAGAAATGATTTTTTAAAAACTTATTCAAAATGAAACTGTTGGAGGTAGGATAAAAGTTAGGAAAGATGAACTTTTGAGGGGGTAGTGAGGGAAGTGCCAGAAAATGAAAGATGAAAAATCAGGATAACTTACCCATAGCACGTGAGTTTACATACACATACACAAAGTAGATACACATATTTACAAATTAATATCTACATATATTTACATATAATAAACCCTATATATAAACATTTATGCTACATTACAAATAACCTTCCAAACAAACAGCTCCAATGTAGATCATATTAAAGATGCATTTTTTAAGAGAGTGATATTTTCAAGTGCCTGATACTTAAAAGTTCAGTGACTTGTAAGCTATATTCTTCTTTACATACACAAGGAATGATTAGCAAACAAGCAAATTCCAACATGAACATACCTCAAAAAAAAGGTCCAAAAATCCTGCATGCTAAGGACACCCTAACACATACACGTTAGACACTACAAAGCCTACTGACAGGAGTCATAATAAGGCTGACCTGTAAGCGGGCTTAGCAATTTCCATTTTCTCTCTCCAGGGAGCACCTAATTTACATTCAGCATTTTCTGTGTAGCATAAAAAGCTTCTGAACAACTGAAAAGCGTCACAATTTGAACAACTTTTTAGTATTAAATTTGTTATCCAAAGGCTACAAACCAGCAATGATTCCATTAAATACACTTGAGAAAAGGAACTACTTGTAGTTGACCTAGAGGTCTCTTCCCATTCATGAAGCCAGTGGTACTAAAACCCACAAGATGCTCAAATTCTGTCAAAAAAACGTTGAGACTGCTACAGAAATTGTATATAGATATATATAATTTGTAACACTGAGGAGAGTATAATATAGTAATAATAATAATCATCCTCCTCATGGTCTCAAAATGGTTACATAGCTACAAATGTTTCAAAATTATCAAAAGATATTATTTTAAGTAAACTAATCTCAAATTTGAGGAAGAGCATGAAAAAAACCCAACTGTCCTGGTTTCAGCTAGGATAGAGTTAAATTTCTTCCTAGTGCTGCGTTTTGGATTTAGTATGAGAAGAATGTTGATAACACACTGATGTTTTCAGTTGTTGCTAAGTACCCTGCTAGTCAAGGACATTCATCTTCCATGCAAGCGCATGAGAGGGTGGGAGTGAGCACAGCCGGGACAGCTGGCCCAGCTGGCCAACGGGGTATTCTATACCATGTGACATTATGCTCAGTATATGAATGGTAGGTGTGTTCCAGGAAGCAGTGATCGCTACTTGGTAATTGGTCAGCACGTGTGGTGAGCAATTGCATTGCGCATCACTCATTTTGTATATCCTATCATTATCATCATCATCATTATTATTATTTTCCCTTCCTTTTCTGTTCTATTAAATTGTCTTTATCTCAACCCATGAGTTTTTCTCACTCTTACCCTTCTGATTCTCTCCCTGTCACACTGGGGGGCGGGGGGGAGTGAGCAAGTGGCTGTATGGTGTTTGGCTGCCTGCTGGGTTAAACTACGACACTGACACATTTGTAGTTGTCAAGAGTTCAAGTTTTTGTCATGTTTTAAATACCCTTTCCCCCATCCCCAAAGTGACATTTCCAAGATCGTGCCAGTGAACCACACGACTGACACTGACTTCACTAATGGCAGGTTTTCACACGTAATTCCCTTCTAAGTAAGGAGCGCGCACATGCTACAGAGGGCAATGACCTGTGGATTGGTCCACTTCATTGTTACTATTGATGAATGGATTTAAAGCCCTGTTTTCAGGAAATCCAATATACCACGAGGCTCACAGACATATCTGGATGTTTCTGAAGACTAAATTCAAGGTTTATAAATAGCAAACTAAGGATAGAAACAGGCAACTGTGCTCTTTATGTAGTTAACCTAGCAATTACTCAGCACCACATGGAGTAGATTGCCAAGTACTATAAAACTTATCACAACCAGCATCATTCCTGAATGTAATGAAACTATTTCATCCTCATTGCACTAGATAAACCTTTCATTAGCTCCTACTACAATATCCAGTAGTGCTTTGAGTTCTTCTGTTTTTACAGCGTACCAGTATATAACATCAACAGTTTACAAGTGATACCATCTGAAGATATTTACAGTGAAATTTACAACACGTCAAAGAAAACTACTAAATTCTTTAACACTATACCATAATAACTTAAATAACATGACTTCAGTGACAAAAGTGTAAGTTTTTCCTCTATTAATAAGGGCACTGCACCTTACCATTTATTGTTCACTTTGCACTTACACTGACACTACCACTACAGAGATTATTGTTATCACTTACTTATATAAGTTGTACTTCATTCAGGAATAAGGATTCGCTCTGAGGTTTATATTTTATTTAGACATAAGATTTCCACAAAAGCTAATATAGCATTAATCGCAAAGATAAAAACAGAAAAACAAAAAAGTATGCAGTTTCTCAGCTGAAAACAAAAAGTTACTGCCTTTTCACAGGAGGTGAAAGGAGTAACATTCTGTGTTTTTACTCTGAAAATATTATAAACATGAGTGTTCAGCTTTGAGTAGAGAAAAGTTCTTCACCAAATCTTGTCATGAAAACAGTAGATCCTAACATCTAAAGGCTGAAAATGAATAATCACCATCTTCAGAGGAATTGCATAGATTTTTCATTTGACCGAAGTTACAGTGGTGCACTGTGTCTCAAAGACTGCTAATTGTTATTTTAGAAGTACTAAGATTTTTCCTCCTCTGTGGTGGTCCTAAAAGGGAGAAAACTACAGGCTATAACTGATGACTTCTGCTGTATGATGCAATTCATTTGTGTCTGTATCTTCACATGTTGCAACTCTGCCCTCAAAGACTGACACCTGAAAACATATATACTAAAATACAGACCACAACAGAACCGCACGAACAGACTGCATTGCAGCTATCAGAACTCTCTTCCAATAGGCCCAAGTACACGCAATGCTCAGTCTTGCAGAGTACAGAAAACATCTGTCTCTTAATGGCTTTCCTCTGGCAGTTTCCTACATGGAACTGATATTCCTCAAGACAAGCCCACTTTTACCCAAACAAATGCATCATAGTAAACAGGAGCACAAACTCCTCCATGTTGTATCAAAACAAACAACTGTCAGAAGGAACTCATACAAGCTATAGAGGCAACGCAAAGCATTTTTTGCAAAATTACAACTCCAACTGTTAAACCTAATCCTCTTTCTATCTTCAAAAGAGGAGCCTGGAATACAACATTCACAACTCTACCACACCTTACAACTCAAAAGAAACTTTTTTTAATGACACCTGGAAATTATTCCCACATATATCTCCAGTTTTCTTCTAGAACTCCCACAGGCAGATATTTTTTCTCTTGCCTTTACTCCTCAATCTCCTCCAAGAGAATGACCTTATTTTCTTTTTACTAATATCTTTCTCTAGCCCAAAGGCAAGGTCTGTCTTTCTTCCTCTGTCCCCGTTATCTCACTTGTTGATAAAACAAGTTAAATTCCAATCAATTGTTTTTCATCTACACTTCACCTGAAGCTTGCACTTCGTGTTTCATCAGCAGAGGGAAGATGTGCCTAAGAGGTTCTCACCCAGCCAAACACAAAGGTTTAACTATAAACCTACAAATCTTGCCTTGCCCAGATCCTTAGACTGTTATGGCTACAAGACTGCATTAGATGCATATGGCCATTCAGATAATTTAGAAGTTAGAAATATTCCTGCATTTCTACATATTCACAGTTCCAATTAAAAAAAACCAAAAACAAAACCTAAAACAAAACAAAAAACCCAACCCTAACCCTCCCTCTCCCTCAAAAAAAAAACAACCCAGCTTTCCCTCCAACTTACTCATGCAATCAAAACTCACCTCCTGCCCCCAACATTTTCTGTATTGGATTACTGAAATATTTCTTTACCAAATGTTCTCAAAATATCACTTCTATTATAATAATCTTGGCTTGTTGGCCTAATTGGCCGAGTTCCTACACTAGCCTTTATCTTCACCTTCAGCTCAAAACAGAGTTTCTTGGTTTTTTTTCTTTACCCATTAATTTGTCCTTTAATACTGGAAAACAGCTACTGAAACCCACAGGTTTTTCTTAACTGTTATTTAAAATCAAGTCTTACTATTTCTGTGTGGATTAGAAAACACAGTTTTCCAACTACTAACCAGAAAGTCTACCCCGCTTGTCGTCTTCTCCTTTCCTCTACTTCCAATTAAAAATAAACTAGAGCATATCAGTACATGAGGTGTTTTTCTAATTCTTCACAATATTCACTTACACATCATACTTTATTCACAGCTCTTTTGGACTTAGAGACACTAAGTGGGAGATGAATTATCTCACCATATATGCAGGACCTCAGTTCAAATTGAGAACATATAGGCATGAACGTAATAAAATATTTACAGCAGTTACAATAAAAAAATTTGGTAATAACCTTCAGTGCATTCATCACCTTGCTTCTTTCCTGAAAATCCACTGACAATTAATGAGTTATTAACAAAAGCTTATTTTAAGTGCCATGTGCTAGGTTTTTAATTCAAATTTAGTAATGATTCCCAACTTCTTTAGAATTAGACAACCTAGTTGAAGAAAGCAATCCAATTAATAGAATCTAACATAAGGAAACTAATCCAAACGATAATAAAAACACAAACACTATTCTAAGATTTTTTTTTTTTAACAAGATGCTAGAAATATCATGTGAAGAAGGTATTCTCCCCTATATTTGGATTCCTCTGAAATTTCAGGGATGGCAAGCAAGTAGGAAAATATCTAAAGGAGTGACAGAGGGATAAATGTTAACTCTTTAATTATTTGCCGGTAGCACAGTTCAAAGATTTTGTAACCAACAGCAAGACATTTTTCTTTAGTCAACATACTTATATAAGTATATAAGCTTCATAAACATACCAATTGAAGGATGTCCTCATCTTTTGGCATAACACTAAGCTCCAATATGCTGTCACTGAAAGAAACAGGAAAAAAACATAGCACATGAACTTTCAAAAGAGATTTTCAATTCTTATTACAAAGACGATCCATTAACTTCCATAGACCAAAACCATTCAAAAACTCCCACACTCAGCTATTCTGTCAAATTACATTACACAACAGAAATAAACACTGATTTCCATTGGAGTCTTCACAAATAAGAGTAGAACAGAAATCTGACTGAAGAGCACATCTGTATTTTCAGCAAAACCAGTGTATTAAGCCAACATGCTGTCTTTGTCAGTTCTCTCCCCCCCCTCGAGTCCTAAGGTACATTAGTTGTTTGGAGCTTCTCAGACAAAGCAAGTTAAAACTTCTCTCCTTCTTCCACGTAAAACTAAAGTCTGTTAGCATGCTAAGATTGCTGGGGAAATGTCAAACTACCACATCATATGAGAAGTGGGGCAATAGCAAGGCAAGCACTGACTTACACCTTTCTGCTCCAATCACCTCCTTAATCAACTTAAACATATTTAGTCAGTCAGATGACATCTGAAATATAGATGAAAAATGCTTGCTATTTATAAGTACTGAGTTCGTCAGTCTGAACTGCTGAAACCAAAAGCAGCAGCAGCATAAAGATCCAGGAATCCGGATAGTTCAATCAATATAATTTAAATACAGACGTGTATTTAAATTACAACCGAATGTACAACGTATCGGTTATCCAGAGTCAAATATTGTAAAACAGTGAAACCCACAGTTAGTATCTACCAGAAAAAAGTATTTTCACAAGCAAGAGAAGTATATGCTTGTAACATTGGTTACAGAACAGTTGAATTCATTATCTCATCTGAGATAGAGGAATACTCTGTTCACATTCATTAAATGTAAACTGGAACAGGTACAGAGAAGGGCTACAGAAGAGATGGCTTGTACAGACTATTTTCACTAGGCTCACAAAACAGAAAATGAAGAGATTATGACTATTATTTAGAAATCTCATGTTACAAGAAGAAAGGATATTTAAACAAATTGACAAATACCAGCACAAGAAAAAAGCATGCCACCTAACTGGATATATCAGACTAGAAATTAGCTTATCTGTACTGGTCAGTACAACGCATTTGCTGAGAAAAGACAAAACTAGCACAGAGACAGGCCACCAACTTCAGGGCACACAGAACAGCCTATGAAAGCACTGAGAACCTCCTCAGTTTCTTATTTCTGCAGAAAGGAAAGTCATCTTCTCAAACATGTAACGTGTGATTTATCATGCTTTCTTATATGAAAAATGTTTTTATTTTGTGGTTCCTTTTCCATTTGTTAGCGACCGCAGACATAAGGCTGCATTCCAAAATAGCAGAGTAAGCGTATTTGGTTTCACAATCTTAAACCACTATTCATTTTGGAAAGAAGTGTTCTCCAAGCAGCATAAATTATTTTAGTTTTAAAACCAAAGATCAGCAGTGATAGATTTAAATTTTTCTTTTCCAGTCTACACACAGCTAGGAAAAAATACATCTTCAAAAGTCTTTTAAAGGTTTTTCAGAATATTGTATTTTAAGAAACACAGAAGTATTGACTTTTTAATGTGCATTTACAATAGCATTTCCCATTTTGACTGAATGCATAAACAGCAAAACTATTTTAAATGATTCTTTAAAAGCAGTGTCATCAGGAGCTGACTTTTGCCTAAACTCCGTTGTATGGATATTAAAACTATTTAGCAGTTGTAAAACAAAAAGAGAATATGAAAGAAATACCATAGCTTGAGGCACTTCCAGTGAAGTGTTCAGATTTCACTTCTACGTGCAGGTAGCACATATGTGTAAATTGTATTAGGCAACTTATGGTTTGATAATAATCAATGCTTATTTGCAGGATGAAGACTTTGGAAGTCAAAAATATGATAAATAGCATTGTTCCTCTTCAAGTACTTCTAATATAAAGGGAAGCGTCCTATTTATAATTCGACACAGAACAAACTATTCTCTCATAAAAGTATTTTGTGCCTTTTTTTTTTTTTTTTAAAAGAACGGGATTAAATCAATTTACACAGTTTAATGCCTTTTTTAGTAGCCATCCAAAAGAGGAAAGGGTTCCATTCAGGAGCAATGTTTTACACATAATTCAAATAACTACTTAACTGTTCTATTCCAGTTTGCCTGTAGAACCTTCTGGAGACAATTTGGATCTTCCTGGTTTATATTTTGTGAAGTGCTCTCAGAATGTTTTCCAATTCTCATATCCGAAACAAAAAGTATTAAGGAATACTTTTGGTGTATTGTACTATATAACTATAACTGCATGCAAATTATGAACTACAAACTGTTCATAAGAACCACTACACAGAAAATGGCAGTTTACACTAAAATATTAGACACAGTATTGTGAATTCTCAGAGATATCTATCATGCAAATAACTTTCATTACACATTTTTGAGAGTCAAATTTATTGACTCAGAGTGAAACTAAAGCTCTATGATGCACTGTCATCATAAAGACTATCTTTTGATGCATTCTTTTGTATTAATGAAACAAATTCAGTAGCTAAACTCTGTACACTTCTGAGTAATCCCAACATTTCCAAGAAGAATTTGCAAAGAGAAACAAGCGGGATAGACTTATCATTCAAATTCCCCACAGTTTTAAAAAAAAAAAAAAAGTTGGCAATCAGAATCTGTTTCTTGTTTTATTTAGAACTGTAAATAATTTATGGAGTTTACATTAATAAGCAACACATCCCCAAGTTGATTGCGTAAACAGACAAGAATAAATTCTTAATGGACCAAACTAACAACTATTGGTAAAGAGTAGGAAACCTAGTCTTAAAAGTGATTTCATCATTAATCTTACAGGACACAGTTATTTCTAGCAGCTCTTTTAAGGTGTGCCCTTCACCTTCCAGAGGAAATAATCAGTGTAAGTTTAGCTTTGCTCTCTCCAACCAGAGCAAAATAGGTAACATTCTAGACACAGCTTGAAACTTTTCCGAGAACAATACAAAACATGGCTGAATTATATCCCATCCATAAGTCCCACTGGAATTTATGGGGATCATTTCATTTAAGGCAGCTAAGTTCTGATGTCTGCAGCATTATATAATGAGGACAAACAGCTACAATTGAACAACTTTCTAGAAAAATAATGAGCAGCTATGGAAATGGAGCTCCAAGAGTAATCTAATTCAAAAATCTGTAATTCCAAACTGAGTTTCACCACAAAACAGTTCAACAGTGAGTGTGGGGGGGAACTACTTCTTTAGAGGTAAGAGAGGATAAAATGTGTTGTATCCTTAAAAGCTGTTATGAAGATGATCAGAAAAATTACAAAAGAATAAGCATTTACAGTCAGCAATTTGTTTGAAAGGGTAATTAAAAACAGTAATTAAAATGTCACACTGAGACTATAAATGAAACTGTCTTTAGTCATGAATAAAGGAGATTTCAACTGACAATTTAGCCTTTCAAAAGGCCTTTCAGCAAGTTGCTTGCACAAAGCCTACTAAAGAAACTAAGGTGTGCTGGATGAAAGTTTAGCTAAGACAAAAAACAGAGCAAGAACTGCGTCACTGGGTATTTTTAATATTAAGACTTTAAGTACATTCAAAACTGAACTTGTGCAAGACCAACCTATCAAGAACTATTAAATCAAGTGATGCAGATAAAGCCTTTGGCTCAGCAAGTTTCTAAACCAGGGATTTCTGGAAAGTGGGCTAGTATTATCTGACCAAATATCACTCTATACTTTCAGTGTTTTCATAGTCTTCTCCTAAGAATCCATTACTGATATTATCAGAGAGGATACTGACATAAACAGACCTTCAGTCTGATCCAAGATGGCTATGCTGATGCAAGAACGGCATGCTAAAGCATACTAAGGCATGCTAAAGAAGCATACACCTTAATGTAATTTTACTTGCCATGAAATGGCAACACAAGAAATAAAATACTTTATGTGCAGAACAAACTGTTCTGACCTCAAAAATACTGTTTTCAAGCAAAGAATTAGAGAGAGTTCATTCTTTAGTCACATGAGAAGTATTGCTTGTAAGCTACAAGGAAGATACACCTGATCTGGAGTCTGAGCTCTCTTTATGAATCAGAATTAATATTTATCTGTTTATCTTAAGAGGTTCAGCTGAAGACTTCCTGATGGCTATATTTTCTGTATAAAACACTCAAGGATACACATGACCTTTTATTATGATCTTCTGTGATGTACACATCTGGCTCAAGACAACAAATTGTTCTCCTCTCCTAATCAACAATAGCATCCCTTCATCTTCTGTGCACTCATGGAAATTAGGGGGACAGATGCAGCAGTGTGCTATACCGTTCCTGGTTGCACTAGATAATCACTGATAAGGCCTTGTTCAGGTGTCCCTGTTTTATCCACAGTGGGCAGGGGTTGCATTCTGCTGGAACGGTTCACTACCTACACTCACGGGGCTGAAAATAAAACTTTATTCACAGGCAGACTTAGAGTTAAGAATCTCTGACCACACAGGCCACTGGAAGATGTGATTGGTCTCTCTCTTTTTTGGATTAAGAGAAGAGATTTCATTGATTGATGTACCTGTCGGGCATGTAAAGTAATGTCCTGTGCCTTGAGTATACACTATTGTACAATATTACTGTCTGTACAAATACAAAATGAAAAAACAATACATGGCTAGTGTTATTTCCAGTAAAGGTTATAAAAAAGATAGATTCCATCTTTCCAGCTCTTGTATAGAACGTACTAATGACACAAAACACATTTCAGTCTACCTTGCCTGTCATACCTTTGAACACAAGTTTTGTTGTTTCAAAGAAAATGCACCTGGGATGTATGTATTTTGAAAGAAATCTTGAATAAAGACTCCACTGAAATAGGAAGATCAGGACCTTATTTTTCCTACTTCTAACTGTAAGCATAACTAAGTCTTAATGCATGAAGATTCACTAAAAATAGAATGTGACATATGAGATGTATTTAGAAAACATTTTTCCATGCTGATCATAATACATCTTTTTTCCACATAACTCATTATTATATTGGAAACTTGTTGCTATAGAACAGAAATTGACACCAAGAAAACTGTAAAAAAATGGAGACAGATATAAGACATGAAAACAAGTATCTACATTCATGTATGGACATGATTTAGTAAGTCCTTGTGAGTTGCAGGAGCAGTAAATACTACCATTCCCTCAACTCTGTGCAAAGTTCATAACTTGCTGCAAAATAGAGGAAAACCAAGATGTACTGCAGATGTTTTGCAGGTGTGTTACACTAGCATAAAATTTTTCCTTTACCAGATATGCTGATTTCTAGTTATCAGATCTCATAAGCAAGGTAGATTTTTTGATTTTCTTTTTAAATTGACATATATATGTGTGGTGTATGTATACCTAATCTGCCTATTTTAAATGCAGACAACCTTCCTCTATAGCACTCAGTGTGATTTGCTAAAAAGGGACAAGTACTGACATAAAAGGACTGTGGCACAATTCAGCACACCCATTCTCAAACCTTTCTCAGTATTCAGTAAACATATGAAAACAGAAATAGTAAAACTGAGTGTGTATTAAGGAAAATTTAAAAATACGATGACTGCTTCAGAACCACCATAAGTGGTCATTTCCTGCTTAGTATTAAAAAAAAAAAAAAATGTGGCACATAATTAAATACTAGTATCTCACCTGTTCTGTATTAAAGCAATGACTTGAGAATATGTCTTCCCAATAACACTTTCTCCATTGACTTTTATAATTCTGTCACCTGTAAAGGGAAAAGTTATATCTTAAATTAATTTGTCTAGACTTTTTTTGATCATTTTTGTTTTGTACTTATGTACCTCTCAATAATCAAGATCACCAATATGTTAAATTCAAGGTTAGTCTTCTTTAAAAGTGAAAAAAGACAACAATAAAAGATGCACAATACAACTACATAGAATCATATACAGGATGCCAAGTTTCTACTCTTTTCTCAGAACATTTTCAGATGTGGTATCTTATTCTAAGCTTCCACATGAATCACCTAGAAACTTATAGAAAGAAAACCACAAACAGGTGTAAGGTATACCAGAAGCTCACTTAAGTATCCCATCTTCAAAATAAAGCTTTTGATGTATGGTAACACGTACTGACAACTCTGCCCAATTCTTAAGCAAACTATAAGTAGACATTTCATTCCAGCACTTGACCTCAAAAAAACCCCAAACTTTAATTCAGAACACTGCCAGGTGTAGCTGAACACATCTCCTCTAATAGCAGCAAATACTGCAATTTTGTACTTCTTCCTTCTGAGTAATAGAGAACGAGTATTTTGAAAGGCTCCGGTTTCCTCCTTCCTCAGAATAATCTGTGTTGTTTTCAAGACATTACTGTCTCTTCAATGCATCTTCGACAGTGTAATGGGTTATTTCTTATCCATATAGATCATACAGATTAGTCTGTAGACCTAACATCACTTTTATCAGATTTCTCCAAATCGTTTGTTGCACCTTCCTCATTAAAAGCTTCATATACTCTCACAAATTAAGTGGCAAATATATCATGTAGAGCTATTTTCAGCTTTTGATGAAAACCCCATCCCATTTCTTCACCAAAAATGGTATTTACGTCATCTCTGATCATAAGAGCAGAAAGGTATCTTGAATTTACTAATGAGGCGAAAATGGTCTACAGGATCACAGATAAGGAGGCTTGGGAAAGCTGCTGGAGAAAGAAGAACTGAAAGAAAGGACCCATGCAAAGTGAACCAAAGGAATGGCTTTTTCAACACTGCTTTAGAAACTGAAAGCCCTTTTTGTGTTTCTGGCGTGATCAAATCAACGCAAGGAAAAAGCTGTTCACTCTGAATACTCAGCCTGACTTGGTGGCAATAACGCTCTAAATGCCCGTTCTCTGTGGAGATTCCCTATACAGACCCCAGGGATTTCCAAACTTAGCAAACCACTTGGATCTGCTGACTGCTTTTAATTTGGTCTGCAAACACAACATCATGCAAATAAATTGGTGCGATATTTTCAACCTCATAAAAGTTTATATATGCCCTTTTATCAGCTGGTTATCGCCCTTTTCCTCACATGAAAGCTCTCAGAGTTTTGTCTCTTGCTTCCTAAGCGATAGAAGAAACGGTGGTGGTAACGTTTAATGGCTGCTAGCAATCCACATGACTGACAGGCATCTGTGATGGACAACAAACACTATCCCACTGTTGCATACACACAGACACCTTACATAATTAGGCTGAGAAACTGGACTTTCATGAAAATAAAGTGAATTTTGAAATGCTGAGTATCACACTGAAATAAATCCTTTCAAAAAGTTGCAGGAAAAAGAAATGCTACAGCTTGTGCCAAAAAATATTATTTACAAGGTCTGAACCCTGTCCTGTTAGGTCATACGGCAAGACTTCCTCGAACACTTCAGATCCTCCTCTGGAACTTAAAACTGTCTTTTTTCCAGGCTGTTTCAGAACTTGTCCACAGATGTAGATCTTTACTCAGTATTCCTACTAAAAACTGTAATTAGGAATATCTTTAAAGTAGATCATATCATTTTATCTATTCTTGTGCAGTTTTCATTTTTCAAAGAGAGTAGGTTACACACAGCAGTGTAACAGTCTACCTGAAGCATGTATCCAAAGAACCTGCCAAAAAACTCAGGTGGGACACACTGCAGAACTGGTTACATGAAAGAAGTGGGCACAGGCAACTCTGCAAAATACAACTTTGCTCAGTTTCAGGTACATATAAAGGGGAAGGCCAGTACCTGTAGTGCAGAAAAGGGTATAGAAGCATGAAGGCTTTTTCTAATAGCTCTCTATCAATCTGGTGGCCCATTAAATACCTTTGATCGAACTAAAAATTAATCTGAACGCACTTAAACCATCTCCCTTTCCACACACATTTCAGTTCTTTATATTCTTGCATACACATAAATGACAGCATGAAGATCAAGACATGGGAAATGCGGATCTGTTTTGGCTGTCTGTATTTCAATATTTCTAAAATACTTATGTTTGGAACTCACGGATATGTTCTTGTTTAATGAGATGCCTTGGAGGTTAAATATGGGAAGTATGATCTTTTTAACTCTAACAATAATTTTGCAGGGGTATTCAAAAATACTCAGAGTGAGTTGTCTTACATTTAAGATACTGTAACCTATTCCTCAAATTTGCAAGAGTATTCCAAAATTTCTGGTGATTAGCAGCCAGGTAGGCTCCTGAAACTGAGCTCATTGATTCTGGGTAACGAAGCTTGGGTTGACACTGTCAGTATTACAAAGGACCCTGCAGCAGTGATATAAGAATTGACAAACAAATATAACTACCTAAACTCATATTAGATTTTCGAGTATTTTCTTTCCATTAGTGTGACCATGAAACAAAGCCAAGTTGGGGGGGGGGGGTTAAAATAGAGTTGATTCTACAAAATAAGAGATGTATACAGTGTCTGTATCAGAGGTTAAACAATCTACCTTGCTGATCATTCTCTGAGTGTTTTATAATATAATTTCAAGATAGAGATATAGTAATATATTTTACGCTAAAGTTTTAAACAAGAAATAGTGGCATGACCTAATTAGATATAACTGCTATCAGCAGTGTGTTTAAGAAGAATATTCTGGTAATTTAAAAAATGTATTTTCTCATTTATTTTCTGTTCTTTATTCTGGGCTCCTAAAAATCTCTTCTATGCCTAAAAATAAAATACTCTCTACAGATTTCATCTCTTTCAATTTGGCAAACGCTGAACAGAGTAGAAATTAACATGGCTCCTCTGTACAACTTCAACATATGCTGCACTTGATATCAAGTCAAAACATTTCTTTATATAATAGCATTAAAATAATGCCAAAGTAGCCCTTCCCTGAATAACTACTTAAGGAGGAGTTAAAAAAGAAAAATGCCTTATGCTGTACAAGTATGATCTAGTACTGTTTTTAAATTGCGATCATCCTAGAATCTTCGCATTTCTTAAGGAATAAACAGAAAAATTATTCTATTCCAGTCAAATGCATGTACTAACTGTTTTCAAAAGAAAATATCAACATCTCATTATTGACACAAACACAATCCTTTCACAGAACATATGTTTTGCCATATTTTTAAGAACAGAAACCTGTGTTTGTAGTGGTACCCATCTACGTAACTTACTGTTTTAACACTTGTAAGACTTCCCATTCTAACATAGGTTTTTCTTCCTTCGACACTTAAGTAAAGGTGTGACAAAGTACCTGGCACTTCACAAAAACCATGCTTTCTGCTCTCCAGTTTGATTAAATCAAACAACTGAACAAAATATAATAAGAAAAGATAGACTTGGATTGTTCCCATTTAATTTAAAGGAGACGGAATAATTTAATTTAAAGAACAAAAACCTGAATGTTTTGAGGTTATCAATTTGTTACAAAGCACAAGAAATACGAGCTTACAGGTGTCATTTTCCTCCCTTTTCTCTTTCTCCTCACATATTTTATCGTATACTTGTTCTTACTTTTTTAAAGATAATAATACAAAAGACTAAGACTTTAATACCTTCATATATTTTATATAGAACCTCCTGATAGAACACAACAGTGCTTTTGAGATTAAAAACACTGGAGGACAATTTAAAAGAGAGATTTCAAACTTCTGAAGGAAAGAAAAATGTTTAAATGGAAGATAGAACTATATGTAGAAGCTTAAATCATATATATTTTACATCATCTACACAAAGAAGCTATTGGTGTTACAGAAGAACAGTACCTGTGCACAGTCCAGCTTCAAAAGCAGGTCCACCCTCTTTAACTTGTTTAACGAATATGGTGTCCATTGGCTCCAGTCTATTTCTTTGTTTTCCTGAGGAAGAAAGAATATTTCTTAAAAGCATTTAATTATACTGCATTACCATGTTTCTACTTTAAGAATTATTTTGAAATGTAATCCTGCCATGTTCATCATTACATTAAATACTCAAGTTCAGTTTGGGGTGAGGGAAGGTAGAGTAGATTAGGAGTCCTAAAGACTGCATTTCATTTGGCTACACTAAAGATCTTTTAGGTGTCTGGGGAAAAAAGAAAGGGGAGGGGGGTGAAGAGAGACATGTACCTCAAACTTAAGCTTCCGAATATGTCCCAGTAAGTGGTATTTTTCAGGTTCATTTCATCAACTCATTGCTACTTCATCCTCATGCTGGTGCCTACACTATTCAGTAAGAATTACCCCTTCCCTCTTCCAGATTGCTATCTGGCATAAGATACAAAGCCAGACAAACTGAGTAAGAATTAGCAGTGCAAACTGAAAAATAAAATTTTTAAATCTTTCCTTAGAAGAAAAATATAACATTGATTTATAGTCCTCATGGAACTGTAACACTGATTTTCTAACAGTGTTTTTCAGATGCTCCAAGATGAAGCTTAAAGTTTTCTTGAAGATTTATCAAAATTCAAAAAGCAATGTATAATTCAAAGTAAATTATAATGTCTGCACATGCTGTACGTATCCATATATACACAATATAAATGTAGAAGTTCATCTATAGTAGTTAGAAACCATAACACTTGGTTTATTCTTGCCTTCTCAGTATATACTTTATTTCTGTGCTTCCAGAAACACAGGTAACTTGTGCTTTTACATGCATGCCACCAAATCTAAGTAATTCTTAGTTGAAGTAGCCACTGCTTC